GGGGGGGGGGGGGGGTGGGGTTGTGGGGTGGTATTTGATAGGCACTACACTTCACACCGTGTCTCAATTACACGGACGCCAGATTACTTCTCCTAACAAGAAGACTTTTGTTCCAAAGGATGACCTAAGGAATCTCAGAAAGTTTTAAAACGTCTCAAAAGCATGTTTTTGTGTCTAGTGTCTTCGAAACAAAATATTATAAATATCTTTTGGGATTACTTTCAGGTATAATGTTTCGGAATTTACTTAAAATACAAAAGATAAGAAAATCTATGAAAATGTGTCAATTTTAAATGTTTCTGTCGGCATAAAATCGTATTGACATCGGATTCAGAAGTCCCGGAATCTGGTTTTTAGGTTGATAAAACGTCGAGGCACCTTGAATAATATTATACTGACAATATATAGAGGAAATGCAGGTAATGTCGGCCTTAGTGTCCCTCATTTGGGCCCATACATAAATTCAGCAATCGACTAAATTTTCAATAGCAACCAAACATATCCATTAGTAACGTCCCAATAACGCGTTCATCTAGATAAAATTGATAAATAGCAGATTTTTAGCGATGGGCCCAATCTTACATCCATAGGACACCATTAGAGACATTTCCCCTAATTGATGAAATCAGTTTTATATGTATCCGATGACATATGGCCGCAATGGGGTTCCAGAATCCGGTTCTGCACAGAAAAAAATCCGAACTTTTCATGTAGATTTCTGCGAGATATAGCGCACATAAAATTAACGCTAGATTTGGCGTAAATTTACACGATGTTTCGTGTAAATTTAGGCGCATTTATCGTATAAATTAGCAATATTATATGCAAGCTTGTAAACGATTTCACTGATTAAGTAGGGTTTTTGATCTAATTTCCGTCGTACTAAGCACAACCCACGCTTTATGTCTCTTTTCTGAACGCGTTTAAACAAAAAGAAGAATATTTCTGTCAAATATGACTTCTAAATTTAATCACCTTTCCATACGTACCATTGGATTTAATAAAGAGTCACAAATTATTGAGATATTGCTTAAAATCTAATACTGCTTCTTGATTCTAAATTCGTCCTACGAGTTTCAATTCCGTCCAAACGCATTGAAACGCCATTAGATTTTCTTCGTCCTACGGATAAACGTAGAAAAAAGGGATTCGCTAGGAGCGCTTCTTTTGTTTTGAGAACAATGAGCGTAAATATTCATACAATGCGCTCTAACAGGGTTTATGTTGTAGCTAATGAACTAACGCATCGGCACATACCTATTATTGATTTGTGCACGTTGAGATCATTGATAATATTGATCTTTTCTGATCGATATAACGGAAATGGGCGATTACGACGAAGTAGCGCTCTACCCTATAGCTCAAAATTAAACGAAGGGAGATTTTACGCGACGGTTAAAATTTTTAACTTTTTCGATTTGGAGCCTTCTGCACTTTGTACGTATACAGTCCTTCCCGGTTCTTGGCTCTCTGAACGAAAGACTTGGACAGATTAAACGTTTTGGCCACATCACTGACCGAAGCATTGGGATTCCTCTTAAACACTTTCACGACACGCTTGTGATCCTGATCACTAATAGAACATCCAGGCTTCCGGAAATCTCACACGTACACAAATGCGACAGCGAGCTGTGAGACGGAGCGTCGCATGACTCTCAAATCCATGGTGTGCTACAATAATTGTAGGGTAGGATGGTGCAAAACGCACCCTTTAAGCAAAATCGTCAATGGCTGGCGAATGGAAGCTAAAATCAAGAAGAAAGTAATGGCGTTTGGTTCATTACCATGTTTTCTACAAAGATCGAGTGATTTAGAACTACAAAAGGATGATTTTCCATGACTTTCAAGGTATTTTTTAAATTGCTTCCAAAATGATAGCGGGGCAAAACGCCTGATTCATGATGCAATATGCACCACAACATTGGGACAAGACGCACGACAACAATGGCCAAAACGCACCACAACATTGGGGTAAAATGCACTCCATGGTAAACAAACCATAACCCCTGCAAGTAGATAATGCAAAGGGATGCGGTATTTCAAATGATTATTTCTTTATGTTACATCAGAAATAAGGTCTCAAAATCTCAATTGGCAAATCAAAGTTGGCTCTCGTGGAGAATAGAAGAACTATGAAAGTGATGATGGTTTCAAAATTTTCCACGGGGAAGTATACGAGTGCAATCTTAAAATGCTTTTATTTTGTGAATGGAGCATTTTATTTAAATCTGGTTAGTGCTACGTTAGTAGAAAACTTCAGGACTACTCAATAGACATATAATACAGAAAACATAATTTCTTTTCAGATTTTTAGGTGTAAACATAGACTTCCGCTTTTCTACCACTGTAGCAGTAACCAGATTTAAATAAAATGCTCCATTTTCAAAATAAAAGCATTTTAAGATTGCACTCGTATACTTCCCCGTGGAAAAATTTGAAACCATCATCACTTTCATAGTTCTTCTATTCTCCACGAGTGCCAACTTTGATTTGCCAATAGAATGTTAAACTGTGATTCATCAAGTAAAATATCTAAAAAATATACGAAACGTAAATTTTTTAATTTTTTTTTTTTTTTGTGAAACATGATGATAAAAGCTTAATTTACAGTCGATGATTGTAACAACTGTGTCCTGTTTTGCACAAAATGCAATTTTTTTAAGGAATCAGTAGGTCAATACATGATTTTATGATCAAGAATTATTTGTTAAACCTCCAGTTGAAAACAATCACAAACCGTTACCCGGAAAATGCATCTGAGGAAAAGTTATCGCTGTTTTTCTATAAGTGGGCATTTTACCCCAGGGGTGCATTATGGGCTGTTCTCCCTTACGAAAGAGAGACCCAGCGAATCCAAACACATAAAGCAACCAACGATACAGACAAAACGGTTGCTACGACTACCATGACAAACTCGCTCTATAACATAGCTCGATCAGAGTGGTAAAAGGATAATGATATATTGCTTGCCTGCTTTGTTGCAATAAACACGGATGATGACAGGATGAATCGAGAAAAGACATAACAAAAAATTCCCATTAACGCACGTGTATCATCTTCGGCTCTACTTCGTGAAGCAGTTTACCAACAATTTGCTCGTTTCCTTCTACCGCCCCGAGTGAGTTGTGTCGCACGGGCTGCTTGTCATGAAAAAGAACGAAGAAGATTATATCATTATTGCTTTGCACTTCTGACATAGCGTTATTATTCGGTTCGTTGATCGCTTGTCATTTTGTCATTTGGCGATATTTTTGATTCCTTGACCAGAACGATGCGCGCGACAAGATACACGCTCTCAACAAATTCGAGCGTTTCAATGTTTTTTTGTCTCATCGCATTGCTCTCTCAACGCGACGCATTCAGTCACATGCGACTGTTTCATTGAAACATCTCAATGCGCTCTCTCAGGGCGCCATCGCCGTGCGCTGTTTCGCATGCCTTGACTCTCGCGGTCCCATCATATGTGATGTTGTCGGGTAACGAGAGAAGGGACTGCAAGGGTTTGTTCACAGAAGACTTGTGTGCCCTTTTCACATGTGGCTTTTGAAATGGGGTGAAGTTTTTAGATGGTTCCAGAAATATCTTCTAGTATAGATTCAAACAGGCCCAACACATGGTTCCAGAGATATACTGGAATCACCGGAAGATCACTACTCATGCTCCTAGGAAGACGAAATTGCTTGTCGAAAGGATGCTAAAGGAAGGTAAAGGAAGACTACGTCAGCAGCGGATGACCACCTTACGGTAGTTGGGATACCGTTAGCATGTTAGCACCCCAAATAATACCGGAATATCTCTGGAATTATGTGTCCTTCAACAATTCCTTATGCGGAAATCTTCTAAAATACATTTTTTGGAAGCCTCTGAAGCTTTCAGCCCATTTGGTGGAAAATTAAACAAATTATTGCGCATTTGCATCAAATTAGAGTGCCGCGCTAAAAAAAATCACTCAGAATACTTTTACTCAGACCAGTGAAAATACAAATATAATTTTACTATGCAAGATCATATGGTCGGCGTTAAGTTAGAAGGGACTAAGTAGCAAAAAAAACAAAAAATTAGTTAATAATATCATAAGATCAAAAATTCCCTCATATACCTTTCACTTTTTCAACCAGATTTGGAAAATTAGAGTAGCAAGAGAAAACGGTCAAATGATTTGTCCCATTACATAAGACACAATATTGAACAGCCAACAACAACAGGTTTGTTGACCAATGTCATTGCAAAAACATATTAAATTTTTACAATGTTTTGGACTACTAGACCCAAAGTTATAGCAATATAAGTTATTTATTAAAACTGATTACAAATAGCTTTTATAGAATAAAGCATTTCAATGTTGAAATATGTTAAATGTTAAATGACAGGAGAAGGGTAGAGATACTCTCCTTTTAATAGGACGATGGGCATTTGGTTGTCTTATTTTCAGGATGCTGGGCGAATACGAGTTAATATCTGTGGACATCTAGAACACACTAAGGCACATGTTCGTTAAAGTGCACTTTTTAGCCTGTAGATTTGAAAAAAAAAATACTTCAAGTCTCCTCTTACATTGTACTAGTTGTTAGAGAAGTGTAGTACTGTCGCATTAATGGCCCTTCGCTCATTTTCAACACCTATTCATTTTTCATACTGCCGTACTTTAGCGGAACTACCAACCTACACTCTTCAGACTATCCTCTTGCTAATAAATTATCACACTAAAGCTTCATGTTAGATAGCATTTCCAACCAACTATTTTTCCTGGATTTTTAACTGATACGATGATGTTGAGACTTTCTCCAGAAGGTAACATGTGCAAACTAAGTAAAACATGGAGGGAGGAGTAATGGTTAACATCCATACCTCTCATACCAAAGTTACGAGGTCAAATATCATCCCCGGAGAAACCACGAATGACCCAAGAGTGTTAAAGTAAGTATAATAATAATAAAAAAGCTAAAACATTTTCGAAAACTAAACTACTAATTCACCTGACACACCAATTTTATACTCACCAATTACCGTTAGAAGCATATTATCCAGAAACAAAGTGATATAAACGATGAAAGCAATGAAAGCACGGCTATGTCGCCGATCTTCCCCGATGAAGGAAAACATATTGTAACAAGCGAGCCGTGAATTTCCTCAGGCTAGCAGGCAGTTACTCTAATATTCACTAATTTTCCAAATCGTTAATCATATTAGCATGAGTAACTTTCACACTGCATTATCACCACCACCATTGACACTCAACCTAGACAGCAAATTAATTTTTAATCAATCAAATCACAGTTCGGCGCCTTATCCTGTAATCGGTTCGGTTTGCCTTGACACACTGCCGCACAATAAAGGATTCGAACGACTGCTTCGATGCGCAATCAACAAGTGTCTGTTTGGTGGCAATTTTCACCCGCTCCCTTTGACCCGATCCGAAGAGTTTTCTCCCCGATCCTACACGGCCGATTAAACCAACTCAAATTTGAGTTTCCATCACTAAAATTCGCAAAAGCGTAGGTTACGCATAGACTGAGTAAACTTTTCGAATATGAGGAAAATTGTATTAGAATTATCCTAGACTGAGTAACATTTTCGTCGGTTTTCCTTATATTCGAGCAGATTTTTAATGAAAAACGAGGAAAATTATGAGTAACCTACGCTATTCCGATTTTGAGTCGATTACATCAGCCGTGCAACCGATGATGTGAGCGACACTCGGGTCTCCATTGGATACGTCCCTAGTTACAGCCGGTGCTAACTGTGGGTTGACTGTCACCGATCCGAACGCAACCAACACGTGGTGTGAATGGTGTGATGAGATGATAATAGAGCAGTGGAGATTTTTCCGAAACTATGGCATCAATATGCTTTGCAGGTTCACGAGAATCGGAACCCTTTTTTAATGAAAGGACACCAGTGCAAGAGTGCAAAAGGGGTATTTTATGGACATTGATTGTGCTTTACAGAGCTTAAGTAGGCAACTAACGTCCCAGTAATCTATGATACAATGGCAGTAATTTGTTACCCGATTGGTGCGTGGTTACCTCCTGCACCAATCGAGTCTAGTTAGAAAAGTAAAATCAGATACCACCCTATCTCGGAGCTTAATCAGTTTTCCCCGAAAACATGATTGACAGGTAAATTAGTGTGGTTCATTACATGCGACGGCGCGTGGTGTGTAACGCAACCTATAAATACTTGCGTCTGTTTGCTCAAGCTCAAGAGTCAGTTCACAATGTTTACCAAGTTATTTGCCTTATTTCTGGTGTTTTCCAAACAATCCATCATCAAAGCGGAGCTCTACCAAGTGAATGACACATGTGCGAATTTCCCGGTGGACCAAATGAGCGACGTCATAAAAGAATTTTTCAAGGTAATATTTTCCTAAGCAGGAAGTTCAAATAGTAGATTTTAAATAAGTGTTAAATGTTGAGTAGTAATATGATATAAAATTGAATTATTTTCACGTTAGTGGTCAGAGAAAGACAATGTATCTACATGAATTGAAGAACCTTCAGTAACGTAAAGATCCGAAGTTGTGAATAAGCTATTGGTGCATACTCTACTAATTTTGTTTTCATTTTTGCGGTGTAGCTGCACGCACGTGCCAATTACCACGAATAAATGACTGTTTAATGGTATCCCCCGTTAATCTGAACGACACATCATGCATATTAACGGGGTGATTACACGCGGCTTGCTTGTGGCTAGGGGGGTAACAATTGGTAAACAGGTGAAGAAAGAGCTAAGGTCTAAGAACTCAAGGGTTGTAGATGCACTGTGCGGTGACAAGTGCTAAAGATCTCGAACTAAGCGGGTGGACGATTGATGGCAAAACTGTAAAGAAACACCAAAGAAGAACAATCAATGGTGGAATACCGTTTGGGGGGCTGACGCTTCATTTTGAAGGAACACAAATTAATCCGCTTTAGAAACACGTAGGGGAAAGGTTGTCTTCGGCAATACCTTAACCTATTATCGTCAGGGGGTACACAACGTCCTTGAGAGCTCAATTTTGACATGTGGCATACATTGCGTTTCAGAGCATCTTTTGGCCAAATTTGAGTGTTCTAGAATGTTGTTTACCCCCTGACGATAACAGGTTAAGGTATTGCCGAAGCCGACATTTCCTCTAGGTAAATTAAATTAAAAAAAAATGAGATCCCAACTCACCAAAACATCTCTACCGGGTAACGCGGCTTGTTTTCCTCAGCCTCTGAGGGAGACGGATAACTCAGATCTGGCAACAAGGTGTAAGGTACATGAGCATACAACATGCTCGATATCGTGATAAACTTCGCCACATGCGCACAAATTGCTGCCTTAGAGCCCCTGTCGATAGAAATGCGAGTCTAACGAACAGAGATTGGACATGAGCTTTGCCATAACGCGTATAAAGTCGCGGCTCATGTTTAACCATTTGAACAATTGGTTTCTCGAAACCTGTGGGAGAATAGAATGTCACTATCTTTCCAAATCACCATCATTCCATTTTTAATGCCAGTTGATGAGGACTTGCTGCCGAGCAATGGAGACAAATTCGTTAAAGGTGATTTGAGGCTCATAAGTATCGCCTTCCAAAGTGCCCACATCAGTCAGCGAGTCAGCTTTCACATTACCCGGATTAGAACAAGGATATGGGACCCAAACTAAGGTGATTAAATAGGAGCAAATCGATAAAGCACTCGATTTACACCATATTTCAAACAGGACATACGAGGAGTGCTTCATCGGTCTCATTAAACGAATCGCCTCCAAAGAGCCAAAGCTATCCGTGAAAATTTAGTAGTGGCCAGAGGGAAGTAAGACAATTAATCATATCGTCAGGCCATTCAGCGCTGTTTCTCTGGTAGAAAGTAAAAGAAATCACTATAAAGAAATTGAGAAAAGTGTAAATAATTCGCCTGCTATGCATATTCAGGTAAACAAAAACTGAACGACAACCTTAAAAAATCAGTCCGGATTTTTTTCGTTCTGTTTTTCCCGGCTATTATTGTTAAACATGCTACAATTCCATTAAAACAGTATTTTCTCATACACTTTTTACCCGCTGTACTACCAGTCCCAAGAGAGCCAACAAGTTCAAATCCAAGAGCGAAAATTCGGCATCAACATTTCAAACGGGTGAAACTATCAATGATGTCGAACTGTGAAAAACGCTGTCAATGTTTTCGAAGGGTGAAAATGCATTTATTTTAAATCAGAAAGCAGTGCAGCCCCAAGTAACAATCCAGTAACCATTTAGCATCCACTCTGATTTATGATGGTTTTATAACGGCAATGAACAATCCAATTAGTTTAAATATAGCATTTCAAAGTGTAAAACATTCCAGCTTAGTAATTCAGCTTTTTGCTGTTTTAAAAACCTTGGCAAGAAAGTCAAAAACTGCCTTGTTTAAAAAAAATAGTTAAGGACTTTCTATCCTGATTGAAGATTTTTCTAGTGGATTCAGCAAGCGGCTAGGCAAAATGGCCTGAAAAAGGTTTTTATTGTTGCCAAATAACTTTTATTGTAGCTTAAATACGGGTTTCAAATGATTCTCAATACGTTCGTCATACAACCTTTTTGCAGTAATTCAATCTTGAAGAGCTTCGAAAATATACCCTTCAGAACCTTCTCCAGGATAGACCAACTAGACAGAGTCTAGTCTTAATGAGGTTTTGGTAGATGCATCAATGGCAAAGTAGCCTTGACAAGGGTTTTATGAATGTTGTTTTATAGTAGTTTTTTATTACTTCATAAAACATAAAATGTTACTTGCGGGGTCACGTCTCAATGGATCCACTGGCTTCGGTGTCTTCAATGAAAACTCTAGCGCCTTCCGCAAACTTCAGTAACCTTGTTCCGTTTATGTTGCTGAGCTGGCAGCAATCAACTTCGCATTGGAGATGATTTCCAACGTGCCCGCAGTCCATTACTTAAGCTTCTCGGATAGTTCAATTGAGGCTATTTGGTCATACGTATGGCATACTTCAAGTCTCCGCGTACATCGTACGGGTAAGGCAAAAGATGTGCGTCTAACTTCAAAAACTGTCGCATTAATGGCCCTTCGCTCATTTTCAACTTCTATTCAATTTTCATACTGCCGTACTCTAACGGAACTATCCACCTACCCTCTTCTAAAGATCATTCTCTAGCTAATAAATTATCACACTAAAGCTTCATGTTACCATTTCCAACCAACTCTGAAAACGCTAACTTCGCGTATGAAGTAACATAAAAACACTTTGAATGTCTTACCATAATTTTATCAATCGATATTTTGAATAATTTTAATAATAATAATAATAATAATTAATAATTTTAATAACAATTTGTTTTGACGTTTAGCTGAAAAACGATTCTCAGCAAAGTTGTAGCTGATAAAAATTCCCATAAGAATAGCAAAAAAATTTGTTAACAGTACAATATGTAAAAAGGATAGAAGACAATGACAGTTTTGTTTTTCCTTATATAAACTTCAAATGGTTTGTGCCAAGTCAGTTTCTTATCAAATGAGTTTAAACTTTTGCAGGCTAATAAGGACCCGATTTGAAACCGTTTGAACACTGAAGAGCGAAAATTTCAAATTTTGCATCAGTCTAGTGGGCGCACAGGAAGGCGAATTTTATGACAGGCAAATTTCACACGATATTTTTTTTTTCATTTAGTGCGTCAGAGTAGCCTTTTGAGTTGGCAAACCGATTGGGACATTGGAAATCTTGGACGGTGGTTAAATTCAATTATTCCCAATGTTTCTTCAAGACCGTGTTTTAAAGGCTTAGGCTTAAGTCGTGACTTCATTCGCATGATCAGTAGACTTATGTCCAACCACTTCTCGCTAGATGCGCATCTCAACAGAATAAACCTCTTGGACAGCAACATCTGTCGGTGTGGAAACGGTTACGATGACATCGATCACGCAGTTTGGCAATGTACGGATAATAACGCCGCCAGAGAGCGACTTTTGAATACCCTCGAGGCCCACGGAAGACAACCATACAACATACAACATACAACAACTATATCCCTATCAGAGACGTGTTTGGTACCCGCGATCTCTGCTAAATGCAGTCGATTTATGTGTTTCTGCAAATGTCTAGTATAAGAATTTTATTCATTTGTCTTTTGTATCTCCTTATTAGTTTTTGTTTGTCTTGTCCCCTGTCTTGATGAGTCTCATCGTCGCCCACTGGTCACTAGACTGATGCAAAATTTGAAATTTTCGGTCCACAATACTAAAACGATTTCAAATCGGATCCTGACTAACCTTTCAAAATTTGAACCCATTTGGTGAGAAACTGAGATGGCACAAACTATTTGAAGTTTGTATGGGAAATACTATGGTAAAACCAAGATTTTTGTTCATGTCTA